CAGTGCTGACTTTGGGCTGCCTGGCTGGCCCCTTTGGAGCCACACACAGGCATGAGGATGAATGGAGCTCAGTCAGGACTTGAGAAAACATTGGTGGAACTCAACTGCCAATGAACCCCCTTTCACGGCCTGCCCTCCACCCCCAGCTGAAAGGACAGAGAAACTTTCTTTCCAAGGTGGCAGCACAAACAACTCTCCCAAAGCAAGTTCCAACAAAGACGTTTAAGTCTGGAAACCATAGGTTCCTTGATGGGACAGAGCCCCCTTTCAGCAAAGGGCCTCCTACCCAGCAGAATGAAGCTGCAGGAAGGTGCGGGAAGCTGGGTTATCCTCGATTTAGAGCACGTTGCCACCAAAGTAACCATCAACCTAACGCGGAGGATGTGCTCAGAACCTCCACCACAATGCAGGTTTGTCTGCTGGTTACTGAACAAGATCTCCCAAATTCACAGAAGTCATTTTGGTGGGGGTGGGGATAGGGTGCAGCATCTCATAAAATCCAAGTTCTTCCACCTTTGTTTGTAGTTCATAAATGAACAGTAGGTATAAACGCCTTCAGCAACAGAAGGAAAGGAACTAACATTTGAAGCATTTGGATAACAAAGCCAAATACAAGGCAGTGGGGTCAGTACTGAGCTGAAGCAATGTCCTTGCAGGAGGGAAGAACTATGGCAAGGGTCATTTGAAGAATTTAAAAGAAGTATTTGGTACAAAATTGTTTGCTGCTTCAGGTCTTTTGGGGGGGGGGGGGAATGAGCGGATAATCCACAAAACATTTGGGGGCTCTGTGGGAAATTAGCTCCCAACTGGTACCAACGGGGCTTCAGTCTCCTCAGTTATCTTTTACTTAACGCTACGAATCAACAGACCAAATGGTCTTTACGGATGGCTGCTGTAACCTGCATTGAACAAGAAACGAAAAAATATGTATCAGCTAGTAAATATTCTCTTTCCCAATACCATGTCATTGAGAGTGTGGGCACATGACTTCAGAACAGCCAACCAGAGGATCCCACTCCGAACTTGCAGGGAGCGGCGTGAAACCTCAGGGGCTGTTTGAGATGCCTCGCTGCTGGAGTAGAGTCCATAGTCTCTGGAACATTAAGTGTTTAAGGGCAGCAGGATGGGACGATGTCCTACACAAACGATTCCTTTGCCTTACCTACCCCTGGTTTCTGCCAGAGCTTGGAGTCTTCATCATTGTGTTAATTCTATGAACTACCCAATTCCCATTTGATAAATTCCTTTCTGCTTAAGTTTAACCAAGTGGGTTTCTGTTATTCATCAAAATGAACTTCGACTAGTATACAAAGCACAGGGAGAATAAAAAAAAAATGTATCAGCTCTTTTCTTAATGCTTGCCTTTTTTAATGTCACAGACTTTATACAATGTTGGCTCTCTTTTATTAAAGTGTTTTTGTTTTTTTAAAATTTCTTTGGCATTCTCCTATTCTCCTGTTAAAGCCACACCCCCCAAAACCTGTAAGAATAAAAGAGAAGAGGAAGCAGAGAAGAAAGAGAGAGAGTCCAGAGATTGATAAACACAAACAACACATGTAATGGAGTCAATGGAAGCCAACACTCATAATGATTTTACCGCCTACCGTTAAAGCAAAGCACTTGACTATTTTAGATATTTCTTTCCCAATGTACGTAGTACAATTTGAAAAATAAAAGGGAGTTGACAGAAATCAAAGAAAAAAAAAATAGGGCCGGCCAATGGCGCATTGGTTAAGAGTTGGCTTGGGACGCCAGCTCTGAGCAGCAGGGCCCCGGTTCAGATCCTACATGAGGGCCAGTGATGCTGCGCCCTCTACAGCTAAGATGGTGAACAACAGCTCAACCTGGAACTGGGCTGCCATGAGTCGCCGGCGACGGCGTAGGCTGCAGTGGGGCTGGCCGGCAACAGGTGTGTGCTTTTGTGAGCAGCTGTACAGGGGCCAGTGAGCTACTGCCTCAGCCAGGAAGAGCACAATGATAATACCAACATGGGCCAGTGAAGCGACGTCCTCCACAACTAGACTGAAGAACAAAAGAACAGAAACTTGTCTGTTCCCCTTCCCAGATTCCCAACACTGTTCCCTTCCCCCAATTACCCAATAAAATATTTAAAAGGAAAAGGAAAAATAAAAGCTACATGTCATGCCCAGAAAACCAGAACCCCACATCTCTAATAAGCCAACCAACCGCCCCTTCTCTTCTACCACAGTCCCCTGAAATGAGGGATCCTAGCATTACCTGGAGCCCAGCTGGAAAAGCACAGAGAAAGGGTCGGGGGTGGGGGAGAGTTATAGTCAGAAGAGAGGTTCTAGGATGTGCAGGTGACTCTAAAAGACAGGACAGTTTTCTTTATACTAGGGATAGAAAGCAGAGCTATGAAATAATGTTCCCGGTAACTGTCCCTGGGTTGGGAGATCTGGGGTGCAGGCCATGAGCCAGACAGCTCACGTGAATTCAAGTCCCTTGGGAACTAAGCATTAAGTTCCAGTAATATTTTAAGATACAAACTCAGAAATAAAGAATGTCTAGCAAATACAGCCAAGGGCACAAAAGGCTCTGGGAAGGGCAGAAAGGTTAGTGTGGAAGGCAGGCTGCTTTTTCTGAAAAGTATATACCCATGAGTGGAGAACAAAACCCAGGTGTTTGAGAATGCAACCCAAGGGGCTCCTTACAGAGGAAGAACCGAATTGTCTGTTTCTGGATAATTCAATTTGGCATCCTCACATTCAGAATGGCTTGCTTCAGTCCTGCCGACATGAGATACCTCCTTCAGTGATTAGGAGGGGACCAAAGTGGGAGTAAAGGAAGAGGTGTCACAGAAATAGTGATGGGCTGTGAGTTGGGTCCTGTCGCAATACACGGTGCACACGACTGGGCGGGGCCTCCGCAGTGGACTGAAGTGGGAACACGAAACGGAGGGCAAGGCGAGACTGCACCGGTCAACACAGCACGTGCATGATGATCAAAATCAGCAAACACACCGGGGCGTTAGGAAAGGCAAATGTCAGAAATCAGGGAACCATTAAATAACAGAGTGAAAAAGGTGTGTGTTGGGGCAGACAGCAGGAAGGAGATGCAAGAGACTGCAGTCTGGGATCCCTTGATTTCTGCTTTGAACCGAATTTCATGTTCTCTGCGGGGCAGCAAAGAACAGGGCTCGGTTTCAGCCCCAAAGGAGGAGGAGGGGAAGCTGCTGGTATGGTATCAGCTCTTAAGTCTACCGAGTCAAACCCTGGGCCAGGGCCAAACCCCACAACTCTATGAAAGTGACTCTTCTTACTTGAACCAGGACATGGCACCACAGCAAACAAGAGGCACAAACCAAACCCAGGGGGAAGGGACATCAACAGAGAGACACTGAAAGCTGACCCAAAAGAGATTCCTACCATGTTTTTCCATACGAGTCTTGTTTCAGGGAGAAAAGGGAACCATCACCTCCATCCAGAACCCTCCTGAATCCCCAAGCTGAGAACATAATTTTAGAGTACTCAGAGAGAACATTTTTTTTACTGCTTCATTTTTACTTCTAAGAGTAAACGTTCTTCCTCTGCAGGCGCGGAATGACTAACATGAGAGAAGCAGGCAAGAGGAATGAATGTGCGAAAACACCAAGTGGACGTGAACTCCAGAAACCTCCCTTCACACAGCCAAGATCTCGGTCAACCTACGTGGTGCATGGCAGAGAATCAAAAGTCCTTTAATGGATTCTTTTTTAATTTCAGAAGTTGAGTAATAACCAGGGAGACAAAACCATGTGAGACTTCTAAAATGTGTCCTTGTCTCTAATTCAAAAGACAAACATGCTCAGACCTTCCCAGTCTTGAAAGCCACAACCACCCAAGAAAATGGCAAGTAAGATCTTTGGGGCCCAGCCCAACAGGAACAATCTCTGAAATGCAGAGAAGGGCAGATCCCATCCAGTTTTGAAACATGCCAGACCAGGAAGCCAGGCATGTGTGAAAACAGTTGTGGAGTGGGAGGCCTGGCATAAAAGAACATAACTAGTTCCGTACCTGGTAGGCCACTAGGGCACAGGTTGTAGACAGGCATTACATTTGCTCTTAATGTAATTAAGGCTTTCTGCTCATCCATAGTAAGGAAACCGGGGGCCTCATCAGCGTCCTCATTATAAATAGCAATCAGTCCCCAAAGACAGAAGAGGGGACGAGCCACCCCAGGGAGAGAGATGCCACCATGCCTTATGGTTGATGGTGTTAGCTCCTGCTTTGGGTGAGCAGAGAAAGAGCTGCAAACGAAGGCAAAGCTGATCATGAACTCTATTTAATTAAATGGAATTAAAGATTTTCTGAACATCTAACTAGAGCAGTATCTGATTTACAAATGGGTTGTGGGGTTCAAGTTCATTTTCAAATAGAAACTATGTGTATTAAACACAGTGATTAAATGTTGTGGACCGGCTCCTAAAGTTTCCAACCTCCAATCCACCACCACATCCTGTGCAGGTTCTACACAGATCCCAAGCTTCATGTTCAAGGTGCTCTGAGAAAATGCAATCAGAGTTCCTACTTGGGAATCCCACCTCTCCCTTCCAAAGAGGTTGTGTGGCTGGGCTCCCTCCATTCTTGAGAATCTGTCAGATAATAAAGATCTACAGAAAAACGGGAGCAGCAATGGAAAGGGAAGGATTTGGGAGGCTGCTTTGATTTGAAAAGGTGAGGTATGGACAGGTCACAGCCGACCTTCAGGGTACATGGACTTAGATGGCGGGGCCAGAAGAGAAATCCAGTGTTGGAAGAAAGATGGTGAATTTAGTTTCAGACATATTGAGTCCTTGGACACAGAGGTGAGTTATTAAGTTAGTAACACAGGAGTCTGAGGAATTTCCCTGCGATGAGCAAAATCTCCAGGGTCAGAGCACTGTCGTTTTTCCCTGCTCACCAAACAGGTCAATGGCGAACATGCGAAGCTGCACGTTTTGCAGGGCAGGGAGGTCCCCTCCTGTGGCAAGCCCCTGCCCTCTCACCTGGTAGAGGAATCTTTGGCTGAAGTGCTGCATAGCGCCCTGGAGCTGATTCCGCTGGGATTGCCACTGCTCATAGTTGCGCACGTACTCGGCTGTGGGGCGCTGCCAGGTGGTGGTCCGAGTGTTGTGATCCACATAGTAAAACCTGCCTCGGGGGTCTGTGCGTTTCTCCCAGCTGGAAATATTAAGCACAACATGAATACAGTGACCACCCCACCCCTTCACTGAAATTCTAGCAAAATCTCAAGATGGCTGGCAAGGAGGGACGAAGGGAGAGTGAAGGCAGGCCCCAATCACAGAGGCTTCTGGGGCTTAGATGATTACAGCAGACGCTTGTGGTTGCTTCCTTACCAACCAATCCCTCCTTACCATTAGCCCCAGACTTCCTTTTAGGGGATCCATGTGGTTCTGGGGAAACTGACTCTTCTCCCAACCCTGGAGTTAAACTGTTGACTGGACCAGGAGTGGGCATGTGACCTGTGCTGGCCAATCAGGGTGATCTCAGTACTTTCGCTAGGAGTTCAGGGGAAAATATTCTATTCCTTGCGGGATATGACTGAGAAAGCATGCAGTCCTGGGGGGCCACTGGCTGCCATGTTGGACCCAAATGGATGGCAGAGTAGAAAAATAAAAACAAACAAAAACAGCACAACAGCTTTTTGGTGATATTCAGTCACTAGATCAGGATTCACCTCAAAGCAGGATCTACATCTAGAAATTTCAATTGCATGAGCCAGTCAATTCTCTTGATTATTTAAGCCAATTTGGATCCCACATTTCATTACTTGCAACCGAAATTATCCTGCTATAAGGTGCCAGCGAAAACATGTTGCATCTTCATGAGAAGGTTGGTGCAAACAACAGCAAGACTCCCCACATTATCTTTAGTGGGGAAGCAACCTTTCCATGGGCAAGGCAGGGCGAGCACAGACAGTAAAAATTCCTTAGCCATGTTTACTCCGTTTAATTTCATTTCTACACACACAAGGAAGAAATTATCAAAAAAAAAAAAAAGAGCAGGACCTTTCTGGGGTGATGCACATGTTTTATATTTTGATGGGGGTGTGAGTTACATGAGCAAATACAGTTGTCAAAACTCAGCAACAGTATACCTGAGATCTGTATATCTCACTGTATGTAAATTATACTTCAGTTTTAAAGGTGAATTTGAATCTAATCAAGCCTCTATATCTAACTACCAGTTTACAAGAAAAACAAGCGATAGAAAAGCATGTTATATAACACAAGGTCACAGTTAGCCAGATCCAGGATATGAGAAACCCTATAAGACAAATGCCCAGGATCTTCAACAAATAAATCGTCCCCCAAAAAATAAGAAAGGATGGGGGGACTTAGGTCTCATAAGTCTCTCTTAACCTATATCAGCCAAAAACAATGTGTTGCTCTTGAGTTTAAAATCAAAGTATAAAAACACTTTTAAGATAATTAGAAAAAATGAACCACTGACTGGGTATGACATGAAATAAGGAAACATTGTTAATTTTGTTGGGTGGGATAATGGTATTTTGGTTATGTTAAAAAAAATCATCTGTTAAAGATGTATTTTATAGATCAATGGATATAATGTCTGGGATTTGCTTTAAAATTAATCGTACCACCCCCTCCTAAAAAGTATAAAGTCAGATAAAACAAAATGTTATTAATTGTTAGAACCAGGTGTGGGTTACAAGGAATTCATCGTACTATTCTCTCAAATTTGGTGTATGCTTGAAATTTTCCACGGTTTAAGTATGAAGGGGGGCAGGGAGAAAAAGGATTTAAGAAAGGTAAGAGACCACTGAAGAAAACAGGGTTATCCCACTGCAAAGAACCCAATATGGATTTCTACTGTACGATTCCAAATTGTTGGAGAGTCTTTGACCCGTGACTACCTTCTCATTTCATATTCTCTGAATTCTCACCTTACTCACATGACTATCATGCTTCAGTCTGGGATCTTCCTCAGTTTGGGGGGAAAAAGTTACCTCCTAGATAACTTTTTTTTTTTTGCTACCTCTTCAGAGATTCTTTTAAATAAACCCAAAGTCTCCCTGCACATGGCTTCTCCTCAAGCTGTTCCTGGTCTCATGGCCAGTTCCCAGACTGTGTCTGTATTCCGCAAGCTAGGCTGTCTTGCCTTCATGACCTGCTGTCACTTTGGATTAAACTAAACGCCATGGCTCTGTCCCCAAACCTGAGACTTTCCTAGTCTTCCCTGTGAGCCCTCCACCCAGGGGTGAAACCACACCATCACTGCCAACTCTACCTTTCCTGCTGTCAGTAAACCACTCAGCCAGAGAGCTTCTTATTTTGTTGTCTCCCTGCCCTTGACTTTCCACTTCTATGTCCAATTATCCCTGAACTCATCTTCGCACTCCGATCCGGCCTATAAACTGCCATCAGGGTAACCATACCAGACTGACCCCTTATGCCAACTGAGTCGAAACCCTTTAGTTAGTAGTCAAGGCTCACAATACTCTAGAACCTTCCCACCTGTATCATAAATCCTCTCAACTCATGATTTTTATTTTTTATCAAAGAAGTCATATATATAGTTTAAAATGCAAAAAGTACTACAGGGGATATCATGAAAAACAGTGTCTCCTGCCCTACCTCTCCCCATAGCTGATTCCTGCTCCCCAGAAGCAACTATTTTCAACACGTGACTGCTTCTTCTACTATTTATAGCCATATTTCTACATAACATGCTTATTCCAGGATTTCTTGACTTCTGCCATTTAGATACTACTTACGGACTTTCCACTATAAAGATGAGGATTTAGTTATTGTATTCCGCCCACCACACACGCACACACACATACA